AAATATTTGTCGTAGTTGATTCCAAATTAATCTTAAGAAAACACTGTATATGAAATGTGGGTTTTATCAAGGCAAGTTCTGACCGCCCGCCACAATGTAAAACACTTAAGATAATTGTGTAACACCGAAAATAAAGGCTCATTGATTTTAATGTTTATATTGTCTTTTGATATTGCAGAGATATATAAATGACAAATATATGTTACAAATGTACATCAGTTTTAGGCTTTAACAACTCACTCAAAATTATCCAATATTATTATTGTATTATATCTCAATTTAGTTCAACACGGTTTATTGAGTTGTGACAATTCTTTTTTTTGTGATCAGTTAGTCCTTTCAGCATTTTTTATGGCTTTATGTACTTTCTATTAAATACAGATATCAAACCATTAACTGGCCCTTCAAAAATAATTATTTTCACCAAAAAATTGACAGCTGATTAAGTTTGCACAGGGACTTTTCCGTTTTTAAGAATAAGTGAAATACGTTCTCTTGTTAAAGGGGTCCCTTTTATTTGTTGTGCTCACCACAACAGCAACTATAAAAGCCAAAGACAAAATTATTCAAGCCTTGGAGATGGAAGAGTTTGTCATTCTTCATCAGTATCCCAATAAAAAGAACATTGTGTATTCTGTTCAAGTTGTCAGTGGTGATGCAAACCTCACCTTTGCTCTTTTTCCTAACCCCGACTATATATTTATTATTTACTGTCAGATAAAACAAGTTGTCTTCAATGATACAGAGAGATCTAACCCTAACCCCTTAGAAGACTTAATTTTGGGGGGGAGGGGGTGCACTCCCTGCACCGCGTTTAGTATTCAAAAGACGTAAACATTCAGAACGGTCGATTTAGCTCTCACAGAATGACTTCATGATACTCCTTACCTTAGTTTGATGTCAAATAAATCTATCTTTCATGACTAAAAGTCGAGTTCGACCGTAAAGAACTCCGTTGTGTTTACATTTTTGACGTAGGCCAGGTTACATAGCATGTCGAAAGATGGCGTGTAAAAGTTGCTGTACGGCCTTCACGGTCAACTGATTTCGGTGAAGTATTCGAAACGAACGGCCCGAAGTAGCCTAGACAATAACAGAGTACGCATGCGTTTAGATCAGTTTTGGCTAAGGTTCAGGGATTTCAATTCCTGATCTTCCGTAAATGTTTATGTACGGCAGGACACCGAAGGGGCTCATTTACTCGATCCACTTTGCTATCCGGACAACTTCAATCATTCTCACCAAATCACTCAGTCAGAGAAAATGCTGATTACTGTAACTTGTTGGAATGGGAAACTGAATCTTTTAGCAAGTTTGCTGCATTTTAGTACAAAAGAGCAACTTTCTTGGAACATACGGTTGGAACTATTGTTATGCTTATACCTGTAACACAAACGTTTTTATTTGACATGCATCTCAACTGGAAGCCTAAGCGACAAATTCTATCAAGTTTCGAATACTAACTGGTTGTGACCTATAAATCATGTTCAACTACGGAATGTTTTGATAGTATCGACTCTTTTGAACCGAAAACTGGAAGAATATTTCGCTCCTATATGAATTTGACTTTAGAAGTCTGCTAAAATATCTGTGTGTTTCACGGAGTTTAGTCCCGTAGTAACGCTTGTCTGATTGCTTTTTCCCACCTCCTCCCGGTGGTCTGGCCGCTTGTTTTAGACCTTAGAAGCCTGTGTTTGCGTTTTGGTTGCCCTCACCTTTGCTAGGCAAAATCTTTATTTGTGAAGTAAGACAATATAAGTCCTTTAATAAAATTTTGTAATGAGGTGGCTATAGACCTTTGCTCCTGATAGCTATACATTATAGCCATTTTTCAACAATTCGGCACGTTTTTTAATTATTTATTGTTTATCCTCTGGCCCAGTAAACAGAGCGCGGGAAATACAGCACTCAGCATTATCATTTGTTTCAGAAGATTTGAAGACATAAATGTTATGGTTCGGTTGTTTAGTAATTCAATCCACATACAGTACGTCTCGGCTGTCTGTGGTAACACAACCACTTGGAAGTAAGTTCATAACAATAATGAAATGTTCCAAAGTTCTTACCAGCAATACTGCATTTGGAAACGTTGAACAACGAGAAGTACGCTTGAGTTCACTAAAGGTGAATGGATTTCCCAGTAACAATATCCTGAATAGTATGAGGTTATTACATTGATTTCACTTGTTGTACCATTGAAGGTCTGTCCACAAGCTGTAGAATTGAATATGTACAAAAATTACAAAACGTTTGCCTGGTCGTCCTTGCTGGTAAAACAGATTTAGTCAACTAGCTCTTCTATATCATATCTGCTTCCTTAATTGTCCTTTTTTTTTTTTCATTCCATTTCCAATAACTGGCGTAATTTTTATATTGATCCGATTTACCGGTAAAAAGCTCATCGAAAGTGCTTGGAATGGTCCAGTAAAAACTGTAGCCAGACACCTTAATTAAATCAAGCCTTTTGGGTGAGACTAAAAATTAATACGACATTGAACATTTTAAGTAAGTGTTTGTTCTCACAGGATCGTTGTGCCTAATTGATTGAATAATGGCTTGGCTAAGATCATAGCCCGAAAAAAAAGCACCAAATTTGCCTATGTAAGTAAACCTGTAGTGTGGTACTGTGCAATAGCTAAGCAAATAAACTTGTGACAATCTTCAGGACTACTATTTAGGAAATCGTTCATTAATAAACACAACAGTTAGCTACCAACCTGTGCTCTCATATGTGGTGCGCAAAGGACCCTCTCCAACAGATGTACGACCTGCGACTTTGATTTCATATCTCGTGGCCTCCATGAGACCTGTAATCCTCAATACTCGGCTACTTGCGTTCACTTTGACAGTGGTGAAGTTCTCGTAGGAACCATAGCGCCTGAAATAAACGACGTAGCCAAGAAGAACTCCATGGGTATCTTCTTCAGGTATAGGAGACCAGTTAATCTCGAGAGAGTTGGGACCATAATTGTATCCATACACCCATGGAACATAACCAGGAACTAAACGACAAAAAACAACATCAGTTTTACGGTATTGTGATATTTAATGCTACTATTGAAATTTCAAAATAACTGAGATACTACGCTTGCCCTAATTGCTCAACAGAGTTGCCAAATCTGTTTTCTATTGTATTGGTAAAGGGCTGACAATAACATCAATAACATGAATGTTTTTTTAATGAACATTTACATGGAGATTTGTAAGGAAAAAAGCACCAGAAATTGGTCGCGCCATACAATACGTGATCTTTTTCTCATGGCAAAAATTTTACGCAGATTCCGTTTATGCTTGAGTTTAGGAGAAAGTCTTAAGCACTTTCGGTGTTTGGCAAATTCTGTGGACGACAGAGTGGACGTTCTTGCCATAGCTGGGAATAGCTGCTGACTTACAAGCTTTCCTCGCGTTCTTCCAACTACCCGTGTGGTTTTATCAAACTGGTAAACTCATAGAAAGAGCGGTCTATTGGTTGAAGAAAAAATATATAGGAGGCGTTTAGGTCAACAC